GGGGGGGGGGGGGGGGGGGGGGGGGGGGGGAAATATGATGTGCTAAATAAAGGCGGGTTTGGATATGTTCCTACCGTCTTAGATGCTTCAAACTCTATTATCTTTATTTAAAAAAAACACCCTTTTTGAAACACCCTATACTATATGCTATCTTTAGCATGATGTATTGGGTGTTTAAAAAAAGACGCTCCAACTTTTCTATGGAGAAATGACTACTTCATTATTAGGAGTGTTCTCATGAAATAAAAATTCATGAAAATGTAAATCTGCCTTTTTCTACTAATATAATTTAATCCAAATGACTATTCCTTTAAAATACAAAAACTGAATCTAAAAAAAATAATTTCCAGAAATTTAATAAATTATTTCCTGCCATCATAATTAGGATAATTATGATACTGGTCAGTATCAGTATATGAAAACTAAACCAAACTCAGATTGAACCTTCTTAATTTTTACCTGAATGAATTTCTTTGAATTGAAAATCAAAATCAACTCTTTTGTTTTCTTAGAGCTCTTCTGCGTTAACCAGAAAGTAAAGAAACCAAGATTTATGTGTTCTTGAATTCTGTGCTCCTAGAACTGTAGGCTGAGCAGGTGGTAGATCCTAATTCGAAGGGATGGATAATGTGAGAAAAGATTTGATTGTACCCTCGCATCAGAATCTTGAGTAAAGTGTTTGTTATTCTTAAGGGGTTCAACCAATCCTTATTCTTTGGAGTGAATCAGACACCAAAAGGCAAATCCCATATTTCACCGATGACACAGCCGACATTAAACTGCTAGTTAGATTAAGTCTTCTCTGCTTCATTCTCAAGATGTTCTACCTAAAAGAAAATTGGCAGGAACCAGAATAAAGCCTGGTCTGATTTTTTTTTCCTATTACCTATCCTCCATAGAAAATGAGTCCCGAACGTCTTTTTTGAAACACTTTATATGTGAAAAGGGACAACACAGATTCGCAAATGCCTCACATTCTCATCAGTAAAATTTCACTCCATTAGCCTGGGAAGTTCATAAGGTATTACAATCGGTGATAATTTAAATTGACTGAAGGAAAATTTCTTTGCATTGTGCCGATGTATCACCAAATGCCGCCCAACGGTCCTAAGTACCGCATTTTCTGTCATTTTCCGACTTTATGAAGTATTGTTATTTGCGTAGATTCCTTCATCCAAAACATTTTCCCACATAGAATATCGTTGCGGCCGAAATTGCGTGGATGTTGTGCATGTTCATGGGTGATTCCGCTTTAGTTCTGTCTCACGGGTCCTTCACATGCATGTAACAGGTTTTTTCATATGATATTTCATTGTTCTTTTCCTGAAGAAAATTATTTCATTATCGTGGCATAAAAATTATCGACAGAGAAACAGCTGGATGATGCCCTCGGTCGTGGAAGAAAGCGAATTACACGTGAGGGTGATAATGATGTCTATCCCTCTTAGCTTCCGAGTACCGTGGTCGAAACTTCCCACCTACGGTGAACAAATGAGTCAGATTCCGATCATGATCAATGTTAAAGAAGACATTGGGCATGGGCTAGGCCTGGGGCGTTACCAAGTGCGTTCAACTTTGATTATTTTCCATTGAGAACAGTTTTTTCCAGCAATCGTAATCCATTGGGAAAAAAAATCGAAATTCACCATTCTCAGTCATCCCGTGTGTACAAGGCCTTTCGACTAATATATATATATGAGGGTGTCGAGAGATGTTACAAATAAATCCTGAAGAGGGTCGGATACCAGGATCAAAGGCAGACAGTGGCTGGGATTTGAATCTGTGACAAAGGCGCCTAGCAGATTGCCTAGCCCAACATTAAAACCACTGAACTACCTCCCATGCCCAAAAAACAGGCTCGACAAGTCCGCATTTCAATGTGGGCTCGCAACCCACGCGGTGCCTCTCGTACGTCCCTTCCGAAGAAATGCAGGCTTTGCAGCGATCATACAACTTTTGGAAACACCTCTGGTAGTCTTCCTCCGAGATGGCGGAAATAACCTTCGTCGAAGCCTTTTGGATGTCCAAAATCGTGTCGAAACGCATTCTGCTTCATTTTTAGTTTGGGGAAAAGGAAATAATGACAGGGTGCCAAATCAGGCGAAAAGGGCGGGTGGTCGAGCACTACGACTCCTTTTGAGGCCAAAAAGTTCCACATGATGATGGACCTGTGAGACAGAGCATTGTCATGGAGGAGAGACCAGCTGCCTGGTGCTTGGTATCGAGGACGGACCCGAACAATTCTGGCCAGCAAACGCTTCATAACGGCGAGGCAGTATTCGCCATTTACCGTCTGGCCTTCTGGAACGAACTCCTTGCGGATAATCCCAGCCGAATCAAAGAAAGTGATTAGCATCGTTTTCACTTTTGACTTCTGCATGCGCACTTTTTTTGGTGTTGGTTCTTCTGGAGTCTTCCAAACTGAGCTCTGGCGCTTCGTGAGTGACTCATATTGAAAACACCATGTTTCATCGCCAGTTACAATGGTTTTTAAAAAGTTTGGGTTATTATCGGCGATTGAAATGATGTCTTGAGCATGCAGCACTCTGGCTTGTTTTTGATCGTCGTCCAATGAGTGCGGAACAAATCGCGCACAGACTTTTCGCCGCTGCAAATCTTCGGTCAAAATGCGGTAAACTTGTGATTTACTGATACCTATGATATCCTCAATGAGTCTCACGGACATGCAACGGTCGCTTTTGATCAAATCACGCACTTTTTCCACTGCTTCGTCCGTTCGACTGGTCAAAGGGCGCCCGCTGCGTTCATCGTCTTCCAACGATTCTCTACCATTCCGAAACTTTGCATACCACTCGTAAACTGTAAACTGTTGTACGTGATAGTGCTTGTTCCCCATAAGCTTTCCGCAACATCTCGAGCGTCTCCGTTAATGTTTTCCCCAATTTTACACAGATTTTGATGCTAGCTCTCTTTTCCATGGTGATTTCTCGACGAATGTCATAAGTGTACTGTTACTTTTGGCGTCCTAGGCAATGACTCATTCATCTTAGCTCAACCAAACTCAACAGAGTAATACATGAAGCTTCAACCAATAGAACGCCACCTTCTTTCAACAAATGGCGCTACTAATACAGTCTGTATAGAAAAAGTTCGGATACTTTTGGGACACACCTTGTATACTGTTATATAATGTATGACATAATTATATTAATGCAATATTTAAAAATATACACAGTCATGCTCGCATATATGATTGGTTAGGGAAACGTGACATGTACTACACGAGCTCCATTGCATAAATCACTGCCATGGGGAAGCCCGGGGGCAGAAGAAAAGAAAAACTTTGGAAGAGAGTTCTGAAGGAATGAAAGACCTATGCAGGCCTTGGTGCTGATAAAACAGGTGAACCAGACTGAAAAACTAACTTTGCAAGATTCTAATTTCATCGGAGTGGGAGTAAGGCGTGGAAGAATATCTGGGAACGCTGCATAGATTTGACAACGTAGCACTCAGGCCTCTTCTCTCCTGCCTAAGTCTCATTCCGTTCCCTGCGAGACTGCCCTTTCCCCTTTGATTCCTCCATTCGGCTCCCAGCGAATAGGAGTAGGTAAGGCCAGTGAGACTGGCCTAGGTTGGAACTGCGCATGCTCCGACTTACTTGCGATATGGGGGAAGCCCGGACCCAGCAGTCCTGTAGCACATAGCATTATTTTATCCTTTTCTTTACTGGTTTCCAGTACTTCGCCAAATGTAGACTCTCACGAGGAAGCCCAAATATTTTTCTGGCTAAAGGCATTCCGAAACATTGTCATACCTACGTATACATGTAGAAGTTAGGAAGGAGTAAAAATGACAAATTCACGATCTCTCTTGAGGCTCGCTTTCTTGTCAGGCCCAGGTTATGCCCGGCCTAATGTGCCTATCCCAACGAGTTACCACTGCCTCATGGTCTTGCCTATCCGAACATGTATGGGAGATGCTGTATTTAATAAGATAAACCGAATGCCTGGGCAAATAAGACTCTTGGCTGGACTCAGCTTGGAGAGACGGCGCGAGAGAAAAAAAATCCTGGAAGGAGGGAGAAAGTATCATCCCTTCTTCATAGACATTGAATGAGTAAATATTTAGACTAGCTTGGAATGGTTGCCCATCTTTTTCCCGAAGCTTACCATATTCAAGCGGGTAAATTGAACGACATTTTAATATTTCATTCCTTTATCGCAGTTGTAATTAGTTACAAATTCCCTGCTTTGGAAAAGTGATTGAATGAGTAAATGAATGAGTAGCGGAGCTTGGAACGGTTGTCCCTCTTTTTCTCGAAGCTTACCATATTCAAGCGGGGAAATTGAACGACATTTTAATATTTCATTCCTTTATCGCAGTTGCAATTAGTTACAAATTCCCTGCTTTGGAAAAGTGTCCCTGTGTCTATAATACGCAAAGGAAGACTGTTCCGAGTTATTGTGGGGTTCTGAACCTCCCAGTATACGTAGGTATGATATTTCCTCTCGTGAAGATGAACGTGCTGCTTGGAAATGTATGCCGCAGACTAGAATGGACTCGGAGCTCCAAAATCTTGTCTGAAAAGGATGTCTCAGGGGACGAGCCATTTTTGGAGATGTTCGAGAAAGACTGAACGTTGCCTGACCTCCCCCTCCTCAATCTCGTCTCTCCGGAGGTGAGATAGAAGAAGGAGGAGGGAGTATAAAACTAAAATGAATGCGCACAACTTCAACAAATATTCCACCAGTTAGACTACAAATTATATCTGAAAGTGATTTTTCGTCAAGCATGACATTGTCAAGATTTAGGGTGGATTTTTGAACAGAGAACTATCCGATAATGCAGCTTTATTTCCCGGATTTACAATGCATTTTCTCTGAAATAAAGCAGCATTATCGGATAATGCTCTGTTCAAAAATCCACCCGTAGGTGGGAAAAGGACGGCGTCTGATGGGAAGAGAAGTGCATGATAGAGGCATTATCCTTTTCGTATGTTTATCTTACTCAAATATGGTCAAAAAGCGAAAAAAAATATACCGCTGGCTATGGCGGATTCTAGATTACAAAACCTGTTTGTGTAGAATTTTTCATGACTCTCAACGTTTTCGAGATAAAGCAGAGAGAAGCGAGGCAGCCGACGAGAATGCTGAGAAAAAGGTTGTTCAGGTTGTTCAGGTTGTTAGGGCCTTCTAATGTGAATATGTTCATTGCTGTCTGTTCGCAAGCTCTTCAAACTCACTAACTGTTCATTCTTGGGGGATGGATATTCCCGTTATTATTGAATTAGAATGCATTTTCCTGTAACCTTTCAACTTTCAGACGACAATCGGCACCGGCCGATGGCTATGAGATGAAAATCGGCCATCTGTCCACCAATCTAAGATGACCTTCGGTGCAGCCTTAGTTATAATGAACCTAAAATTTGTTAATCATTCATCGTTTCTATTCTTTGTGGTTCACCGTATCCACTTCCAATAGGTTGACGTGGGATAATAATGAAAAGTTAAATAAATAAAAGATGTGGAACGCCTATTCATGGCAGTTATTTCCTATCCGCATTTATTCAGTAATTTGTAGGAAATTGGAAGAAAATATTAAAAAAAAAATATATATTTTTTTTTTGGGGGGGGGGGATTTTGAATGAAGCCTTGCTTTTCGTTTTCTTATTGCTTCAGGTCGAGAAGCGGAGACCTTGTCGATGAAAATCATAAGCGTAGCATGGATGAAAAAATGTGCACGTGTAGGGAGTGGAGTCGGGGGGGGGGGGGGGGGGGAAACTCAGATACTGTTACCATACATTTCTGGGGTCTTCTTTTTTTGGCTTCTATTCTTTGAAAGTGGCGGGGGGAGGGCTACGTGCCCTCTCTCCCCTGGCCCTTCCGTGAAACGCCGCTGATTAAAGTATAAAAAAGAAGCGGAATAAACTTGAGTCAGCAGTGTTCGTTCCAAGAAGCAGAACTTCCTCGAAGCAGACTTAGAAGAGAATAATAGAATCTACATTAAAGAAGTTTCGGGGCTGCTGAGCAAAGCTCAAAATGGCTTTGGAAAGATGCTTCCATCAAAGATAGGGGAGGAACTGCTATCTAGAATTATTCATCTTCAGCAGGGTTTCGAACCCATTTTCTTGTTCGTACCACTGTACTCAATACAGTAGGT